TAATTCTTGTATGTCTTTAAACATAACCTCTCAAAGTTTATACATTCTTAGAGCAAGGCCAACAATCTAGATACCAGTAAGTTGTCGAGGCCATGGCAAGACTCACCTGTGATGATCCTGGTACAGAAGCTCGCTGAAAGAATATTAAGAAGAATATGTCAAATGCTTGGACCGATTATTGCAGTTATTATGGGAATTATTGCATTGACTGCTATGGCTACAACGGCTGGATTGGTGCTTCATAAAGAAATCCAAACTGCTGAGTTTGCTAAAGACTGGTATACGCATTCTACAGAACTTTGGACTCAACAACATAAAATAGTGAGATAGTTAATGAAACGGCTGACTTGAGACAAGCTGTTATACTGTTGGGAAACCAGTTAGAAATATTGAAGGAGCAGATAAAATTAAAATGCGATTGGAATGTTACATCCTTTTGTATTACACCTTTAAGCTTCAGTAATAGCAAGCATGACTGGGTAAAGGTTAAGATGCATTTGATGGGTCACCCTAATTCTTCTCAAATGATTAATGATTGATAGTTTCCTAAAGGTTCAAAGCCTATGCAAAACTTGGTTAAAGGAGGACTCAGCAAACTGAGATGTCTTGTGACTGAGGATTGCTTGGGCTTTTGTCTCTTTGGGAGCTCCAGATAAGAGGTTTTGGTATGCAGAAACTGACTTGCCAACAGATGTAAATTGTATAACAATAAAAGAGCCCTTGACTACAGGCAGTCAGTTTGCCAGAGGCTGATTTCCCTGTGGCTACATAGGCTAATTCATCCTAGAGTGACCCTGTTCTTCCATGGACCCATGTGAACTCAACACCCAACACAAAAACAGTCCTTCAGAGAACTGCTTGCCTTATTTTAGATAGCAAAATATTTGTTCTTCCACTCCTGAAAAAAATCAGTTCTAGTATCTTAAGGTGGATCACAGCAAGAGGAAAGTGCTTAAATAGGCAAGGATCAATTTTCATGCAAAGGATGATTCAGTGCAAGAGGCCAGAGTCCAATAGATGTTCTGAGTAATGGTGTGGAACCAAATTAAGGATGTCAGGGCTATTCATGCGAGTGGTCTAAAGGGTGGCATAAAACCCAACTAGAGTGAAGAAAGCAAACTGATTTAGGGGACGACAGCAAAGGATAAGTTTGGGTTTTCTTTGTTTGGTATTGTTTTTTGTTGTTGTTATTACAGGAAACTGGTCCAGGAATTAAATATATAAAGGCAATGAGACCCAGGCTTCTCTGGCCTAGCGAGGAATTATATACAGAAAGTGAGCAAACATGAATGAGGCTTGTGATGTCAGATTAAAACTAGATGTGACAACATGGGCTCATGGTAATCTAGTAAGGGTAGATAATGATGTACCAGTGGCAGGTCCAGAGGACAGCAAGCTCAGGTCTTTAGCTCACAGGGCTCCGGATTCTGAGGCTGGCCTGCCTTCAACTTGATGCTTTCCTGCTTAGCAGGAGTCGCAGTGTTGAACAACTCCACTAGGGCCTTGTATATTACCATGTAAGTGTATGCACCTTGGGATTCCAAAGAAAAGGCCAAGCGTCCTAGCAGTGTTGAGGGAAAATTTGTGAGGACAAGTCCAGGGGATGATGCACTCATGAAGACATGGAGCACCAACTTCCAGATGAAGAATCATATTTCATCTCTCTCCTCTTCCCTCACAGAAGACTGTGCTTGAGTAGTCCTGGATGGTGGTGGCATGGTATGTGTCATCATGGCCTGCCCTCTGCTCTGTGTTGGTGCTTGGTACTCTGATCAACAGTCAACTTCAAGTACTTAGCAACACAGACACTGCCACTTCACGTGACATACACTGACCAGAGACAGAAAAGATGTTACTAAAGATTATACTTTAGAATAATAAAGAAACTACAACAGGCCCCCAGACATTAGCATAGCTGACACCATGATGGAAGTACCATTCTGGCCATAAAACTCAGCATGCAGACTGCCAAAGTGAAAACCAAGACCCTTACCCATCAAAGCCCCCAGTTCTGGGAAACTCTCTAAATCTACTAACCTTGCTTTTTGGCTTTTGTAGTTCTGCTTCTGGCTAACTGTTCTTGCTAACTGAAGTGTCTTAACCCAGGGCATGCTTTTTGTGCTTAAAAATTCACCCTGATGGGGCTAGAGAGATGGGTCAGTGGTGAAAAGCACTCACTGCTCTTCTGAAGGTCTTGAGCTCAATTCCCAGCACCCACACAGCAGCTCACAACTGTTTGATGCCATCTTCTGGTGTGCAGATATGCACACAAAGTACACTTATACATACATACATACATACATACATACATACATACATACATACATACATACATACATACATAAATGAAAAGAAAAAAGCCACCCTGAGGAAGACTGGGGGCTGCACTGTGATTGTGAACACCCAGTGTAGTTGCTGGCCAGCTAACACAGACTTTCTGTTGCAGGGATCTTCTCTGACAGACACCCACAACAAAACCCATGTAGGAAGCCTTGAACACCTAGAAGTGTATACCAAGGTCACTGGTGACTAGCAGTTGGGTCCTCTCACCTGAACGAAATGGTACAATGCCCTGTGAAACATCAAATGAACTGACAAGAAAAACTAAAACTGAGCTTACCACCTGAGATGTCCCAGTCTCAAGGTAAGTGGTCATTGAGTTCCAGCACTAGAACATTCTATCTGAATCATTTTTCAGAGCAGCTTCTGAACTCCATCAAGAAAAAGGCCTCTGTGCCATTAGTGAAACAGTGTGATTAGCACACCTGTTGTCCACCGACCCAGAGCTGAATCAGGATTGTTTGACCCCAGGCAAGACCTTAGCTTAAGAAACAAATCACTTAGTTGGTCTTTCCCTTACACTGTGAGGTCTGACTCACTCCTGAGGAAGTCCCTCTAATGCGTCAGGGAGCCGTGAGTGGACAGCTCTCAACAGCAGAATCAGCGTGGTGTTCGCAACCCTGCTAAGGGCAGTCAGGCATACGGGGAGAGGGCTGCCACAGGAGCCCTCCCTCGGTATTGGCGGTCCTCTCCCTACCAAGAGCTCCATGCTGTTTCCCCGGCAAATGTGACGTCATGCCTCTTCTATCACTGGGGCTTGTGCCCATTTTACTGAATGAGATGAAGTTTCAGACACTTCAAGGTGCACAGCCATGGGAAGCATGCTCTATACAGGTTGTGGTAATACCCCATGCCCTTCCCTTGGGAACCTGGTACCTGTTTCCTGACCCCTCTGAAAAGGGAACGTGTGTTTCTCATTACCTTTCAGCTCAGCTTTCCCAGGTCTAAGTGAGCAAGCAGCAGCCACTGAGCTCCACAGTATGTGACTCTCAAGTCAAACCTCCCTTTGTCCTGCGATTTACTCCTCTGACTCATTTTAATGGGGTCTGGGGGATCTCTTCTGCTCATTCTACCAGCTATGGATAGATCACCCCCTTCCCTTCAAAGACCCCATATTCTTCAACTATTTTTCCTGATGTTCACTTTTTAAAATTTATTTTTATTTTTAATGTTTTGCCTCCATGTGTCTGTATACTATGTGCATACCCACTGACCACTGAGTAGCTGAGAGCTACCATGAGTGCTGGGAATCAAACCTAGGTCCTCTGGAAGAGCCCAAGTGCTCTTAAGATCCCATCCACTCTTCAAAATACATACTCAATTTTGAGACAGAACCCAAATATTTACCATGTGTAGGGGATGGTGGCAGCACTATGATCAAACTGCATTCCCTAACTGCTCTGTATTTCCGTCTGCAGGGGATAAGAAATTAAGTCTAAAGCAGTGGTTTTCAACCTGTAGGTCATGACCTCTTTGGGGGTCAAATGACCCTTTCACAGGGGTTGCTTAAGACCATTGGAAAACATATTTCCATCACAATTCACAACAGCAGCAAAATTACAGTTATGAAGCAGCAACAAAAATAATTTTATGGTTGGGGGTCACCACAGCATGAGGAACTGCATTAAAGGATTGTAGGGAGCATTAAGAAGGTCGAGAACCACTGGTCTAAAGCATGGTAGCTTCTCCAAGTAGAACACGGGCAGGCCCTAGGGAGCATGGCGAAGGACTCCACTTCCTGACTTGGGTGGGAGCAGGCTGGGTTAACCATAGAGGAAGATGATTCTAAATAATAGTAAGAGAAACTGGGATTCCACCTGATTAGAATGATGGACAGTCTGAGCTGTCTAGGGTACAGAGAGGAGCCTGAGTCTTCAGAACCCTGCAAGGTCAAGCAGCCAGACAGGGTAACAGGTGAGCAGAGGGCAGACCAGAGCCTTGAGAGCCACATTAAACTATGCTTAGCAGCTGAGGTGACAGAGGATCACAGAACGGAGCAGCCAGCCTCTTCATAGAGATGACCAAGAGAGAAGCCCCACAACCAGGGAGGGTAGGCAAAGCTTAACCAGAAATGGAACCCCTGGAGACACCAGGACAAACAGCGCAAAGCCTCAAGCATAAAGGAAGGTAGAAGAGCTTTGGCTAGATTATGACTCGGGGATTAAGTCTCATTTGCCTGGGGAAGTGCACTTAGCCAGAAGTTGAGTCTTCTGCCCAGCAGACTTGGTATGCCCAGGCATGGAAGAGTGCATCTTGGGAACTTGTCCCTTACAGGCAGACAAGCATGTGCACTGGGCTTTTACTGTTTCCTTGGCAACCAAATACACCGGTGCTCTCTCTGAGAGGCTGCAGAGGGAGAACAGACTGAGGGGTCTCTGTCCCTGGCCCTTGTGCATGTAAGGAAGGCAGAAATCCCTGAAAATCCAAATGATCTTCCTGTAGAAATAAGAGAGGGGCTTGAGTCTGTGGTCAAGGCTTCCATCCCCCTTCCAAAATCTCTGAAGTCACTTGGCTCACACTCTTTGCCCTTCTCTCACGTTGCATCCCAGGCCAGGAACCTTGCCTACTTATTTGACAGGAGACAAGGAAGGACCCAGTGGATCCTATTCAAGATCCATATTCCCCAAAGGAGTTTAACACCTAAGAAGAAATTAAATAGATCCAATCACGTCCATTTATTGACTAAACCAATCCTGGGTAAAGAGAAAACTAGCTCTGGGGAAGTGTGGGGAGGGGTCACTTGTAAAACTCATGTTCCTGCTCATCTTTCTTGATCACGGTCTTGTAGGCTTTCTCGAAGTCCTTGGCCAGGACAATGTAGCGGTTCTCACGGACAGCCAACATTCCACTCT